TAAAATGAGGACCCAGATGGTTGGGGGGGCAAAATGCTGACTCTGTAAACCGCTTAGAGAGGGCTGTAAAAGCACTGTGAAGCGGTAGGTAAGCCTAAGTGCTGCTGCTATTGCTAAAGAAAACCCCGCAAACGTTGAGGAAATGTTAAGGGAAGCCACACACAAAAGTTGTCTTAGTATTTTTACCCATGTGATTTGCAGCTGCCTGTAAAGGGCTCAGCAGGGAGCACTTTTAGTTTTGCCGAAAAGTTTTGAGAACAGATTGTTCCAAGAGGTCCTAGCAAGATGTCATCTTCTCCACCCTCATTCAACTGTCTCCTGAACGTCTTTGTGTTTCCATCTTCAGCTCCCAGTGATTGTTTTATGCCTGGCTCTAAAGATCTGTGAATATGTCTGTATTTATGTATGTGCATAAAATATACATCATATGCAGGATCTCTCTCCCCTGAGCAGCGTTTCGCAACTGTGGCAGCTGTAAGATAGGGGGACTTCAACTCCCAGAGTTCCTCAGCCAACATGCCAGCTCCCACCTTGCTTAGCTTCTGGAGGTCTGTAAGGATCACAATCACAATCCTAGCAATTGTCATAACAAACCCATTTGATATGGCTCATCTTCCCACTTTCAGAGGCTACTTTTACGTTGCCCACAAGGGAGGGTCGCTGTGAAATGATTGCTCTTTGAAAAAGCAGAGTTCACATCCGTGCAAGTCCTGGAAACTGCTCAAATGCATTGAAGGTGGGCATCGTGCTTCCATTTCCGAAGGTGTTCTGGCTCTTAATGCCACCTAGCTTATAATGCAATTTACCCAGTACTGTATGCGAAAACCAGAGCTGTGATATTCAACCCCTTTTAAAATCTCGATCCAGGATGATTGCTGGAATCCTGGGCTATGCCAAAATCGTTCCTAGCACACACAAAGGTTACCCTCCCACAGCAGCTCCTTCTGCTCCATCCAGAGGCGTAGATGGGACCCCAAGTCTCAGTTCCTCCACTGGCCCTGCTTGGGTTAGCCAAGGCTCCCATCGTACAGGTAGTGGGTAGTAGTAGTCCAGGTAGTAGTCCTGGACTTACAGCCACACCTGAGCCCAAAATTTCTGTTGCTAAGCCAGACATTTGTTAAATGAATTTGGCCCCGTTTTACGACTTGTGGCTTCTCCGTTGACTTTGCTTGTCAGAAGATCGCCAAAAGAGGATCACGTGACCCCGGGACACTACAACCCCTCGTAAATATGAGTCAGTTGCCAAGCGTCTGAATTTTGATCACGTGACCATGGGGATGCTTCAATGGATGTGTGAAAAACGGTCATTAAGTCACTTCTTTCAGGGCCGTTGTAACTTTTGAACTGTCACTAAACGAACCGTTGTTAAGTCAAGGACTACCTGTACTCCAGACAGATTTTTTGCAGGCTGCCAAGGTTGAAATTTTTTTTAAAATGCATTCCAACTGGATTTTCCCCCAGAATCAAGTTGGCACCTGGTCTGCCACCCAACGAAAGCTATCACCCCACCAACCCAGGAAAAACATGTAAAATGCCAGCCCCGGCATGTGAGGTGACCCCCACCCATTGCAGCTCGCAGCCCCTGCCCCCAAATATTACAGACAGATCTCAAATGACCATCCACTCTGACTAGCTCAACAATAAAAAAAGTAAACAAGCAGGCAAGTGTTGGTTTATTTTATTTAATTTTATTACGGTTTTAAAAAGGTATCTATTTCTCCAGCAGAGCAAGGTCACATTTGAAGATTTGCAGGAATTCCATTTCAAACAAAGGAGGGTGGAGGGGGGGGGAAAGAATCAGCTTTGCATTACTTCACTATAGCTCAAGTGTTTTAATATTTAAAATTGAATTTTAGTAATATGCAAGCCAAGCTCAGCTTCAATGCAGGATACACTATATGTAAAATCTGCCCCACATTCATGTTAAGTTTGGTTTACAGGGAAAAACAGAATGAGACAAGTATGTTTTATAAGAGTTATAGTCTTCCCAAAGTCACAATCAAGGAGTGACCCTCTGGGATAATTCCATGGCTGAGCTTTAAAGAAATCTGCTTGTGACACAACCCACTTCTCCAACGAGGGCCATCATGCAATCGAGTATGATTATTTTGGCAGGAGAGTGAACATTTTGACAGCAAATAGTGTTTGTTTGTTTTTTAAAAAAAGCAGGAAAGTAAAAAGTTTAAGCTTTACAAGCACACAGACTATAAGGACAGCTGGCTTATCCAAGCCTGTTTTTTTCTCTTTACCAAAACAAAAAAGATGGCACCAAAAATTTTAAAATCCTCAAATAATTTTGTTCAGAGGAGCTAGACTGAAAGCAAAGCTTCAAAGCACAGAAGAATTACTCTAGTCTAATTGGTAAGAGGGAAAGGGGGGGGGGATAAATTCCACACATGGAGAGCTACATGCTCTGTTCTTTTTTTTTTTTCAGTCTAACTGGGAAGCAATCTTAACTTCCTCATCTAGCATTTTGGGCTGGGCTCGTAACTACTTTGGAGAAACCACGGACCAAAAACCTCAGCAAAGCTCCATACTCATTCAGTGCACCGATGGTTTATAAATCAAGGAGTCTGTGCGTTCATCAGTGGCCCAAGTCCTTGTTTCCTATTTCTCCATTCCAGGCCAATTCCTTCTTTCTGAGTATTAGACGGCTCTGCTCACTAGTTGAGTTTTTCAGTTACAATTTCATTTGAAGTACTACTTTGTGTTTGTTTTTTGGCAGAATATTTTATCATTTTGCAACAGTCTTAATCCTGCACCCACAAACATTAAGTGCTTAATTCTCGAAAGAGAAATGCTTGTTTAAACCAGAAAGAACCATGCCACACAGACAATCTGCAGTCTGGATTCTCATTAAGTCAATAAGCCATCCATGAGCTGCACTTGACATTGGCAATCTTTTTTTTAAAAAAAAAGAACATCTAAAAAGATAATGCAACCTGAGACTTGAGGCTGGAATTAATGTTAAATTCCCATCGTTTCGTGACAGGTCATTTTTAGCTGTTTAAGATGCAATTAGCGGTGTTTTTAAAAAGCTCCACAAAGTAAATGAGAATAGATATGCTTCTCCCAGAGAATATCCGTGGCCTTTTACGTTGGAGTATGCTTCACGTTGCATTTTTCAAAGGCAAAAAACAAGGGTGCACAATTCAAAAGGCCCCTTACTGCTGCCTGAGTCCCTCCTGAATCAATCCCACCCACCCACCCCCAAATTGCAAGGACTTCTGCTGCTTGGATAGACCTCCATGGATTTGACACAACCACTCCCAAATTAAGAGAAACAGAACGCATCGGGAGAGACGAGAGATCTGGGGAAAACATCTGACTGATGGGACATGAAGAGGCTCTAAACCAGGGGTCCTCAACTTGGGCCACTTTAAGACTTGTGGACTTCAATTCCCAGAATTCCTCAGCCAGCAAAGCTGGCTGAGGAATTCTGGGAGTTGAAGTCCACAAGTCTTAAAGTGGCCCAGGTTGAGGACCCCTGCTCTAAACTAAGGATCCTACAGTGTATTTTGCTGCCCAGTCAAGCAACATTCAACTGGAATCTGGCTCCAAGGCTATTCTGAAACACTGCAACTGCCCTTCTGCAGTCAAGGCAGACTAGCGATCCAATCCTCCTCAGCCAGAAACTCCACAGAAGGCGAGGGATGAAGGGGCTGTAGCCAAACACACCCAGTGGGCACCAGAACAGGGAAGGCTACCCTACCATTTTCAAAGTCCCCATTGCTAGCGGGTGAGTTATTACTATCCCTTTCCATTGATAATAATAATAATACGACAGATCTCTGGGGCTACAGAAAAAAGGGCTGCGCGTTGAAGTTTGTTGGGAGGGGAGGGGAGTTTGGACCCCAGGTGGAGCAGCCCCTCGTGTCCGGACCCCAACCCTTTTTGCACCTTTCCCAGTGGTGGCTCACTGGGTAGGTATGTCACATACCTGTCTCGAAAATGGTGGGCACCTTTTTGCTGCACCAACTGAATGCTTGGCCAGCTCAACCACAACGCTGGGGGTCGCTTAGCTTTGCAGCCCTTGGGCACTGAGGCCACCCGAAAGGGGTCTTCCCCTCAGGGCACAAGAGGCTCACCATCCATCTCACCCAAATGACCAAGGAAATAATGGTGCCCGAGACACTGGTGCTCCTGCCTTTAAACAGCAGCTCAAACCTCACCCCCATCATGATGGGAAGACGCCGAGGCCAAAACCCTTTAAAAAAAAAATACATTTCCTAACCACCCAGTTTTCTCCCTGCACACTGAGGAAGTGTAAGTTACATACCTATATAAATAAAAATTACATGTCCTCCCAGTGACAAAACACATTCCTCTGACAATCCAAATACTCTGCTGGGTGACTTAAGCAATTGATTCAAAACCTTCCCAGCAGAAATTCCTGGGGCCGGGGGGGGGGGGGAGAGGAGGGCCTGGGGCAGCTGCCTTAAGAGTTCACACACACACAACCCCAACAAACAGCCTTTTTGTAACGACTTAGTCTCTGCTGCATCATCACCAGGGAAATCTGTTTACATCACCTCCCGGCTTTGTAATTTGCACACTTATTTAAATAGAAAATTATGTGTCTAGTAGGCTTTAAAAGGAAAATATTAATATATTTAAGAATATATATATACGTGTGTGTGTGTATATATATATACATATACATATATATTCTCTCTAAAGGAAGCATGTGGGTCTTACTTGCCAAGTCATGGTGTTGATATTGTTGTCAAAAGTGGCAATACTGTTGAAGCAAATATTTAAACACATTCAAGAAATAAAGGACAAAAAGCAATCTATAATCAAATAAATGTCTGATATTTCCTTTCTTCCCTTTAAGAGTACATGTAAGGTCACTTTTAGCCTTGGAATGGATGTGTAATCTACCTGCGATGAGCTTGCTAGCTACTAGAAATGTTGGGAATCCTCTTCTAAAGAATCTACTCTGAGGAAAGCCATAGAGGATTGAGAGGAGTGTTACTACCCTCAGGATGTATTCTTTTTTTTAATGGCAATTTTTGTGTGACTCAAGAAGAGAGAGCCTCAAATTCGTTTTCCCAGTGGGCGGATGAGCACCAGTGGGCTTTTGAGCAAAGGGGCGGGCGGGGAAGAGGGGAGGGTGAAAACAAGGTTGTCATTTAGATCATACGGTTGCGTTTATGGGTTGGGGAGTCCGTAATGCCATCACCGCACTGGGCTGAGGTACGCTTCCTAGTTCCACCATTGTCCAAGTGGAGCGCCATTTCTTCAGATATGAAAGTGTTCAAGTCAACATCATGGAGTCCGTTTCTCCTTCGGCTCCCGTTGGAGCCGCTGCTCACATGAGTGGGGGAGCCCGGGGTGCTCGAGCGAACGCTGATGCTGGCCATCGCACCGCTGAGACCTGCAAGGGGAAAAGGAAAGAAGGAAGGCATTAAGACGGTCTGGGAGCCAGGGTCATCCGTGAAGCCGGGCGGGCATGCCAAGGGGGTGAAAGGCTGGAAAAACCTGCCTCCAGTGGAACAACCTGCCTCCAGAAGCGGTGAATGCTCCAACACTGGAAGTTTTTAAGAAGAGACTGGACAGCCATTTGTCCGAAATGGTATAGGGCAGTGGTGGCGAACCCATGGCACGCGTGCCACAGGCGGCACTCAGAGCCCTCTCTGTTGGCACACGTGCCACCGCCACCAGCAGCAGGTGCATCAGGCCACCACTGCCACCAGGAGGAGCCCCACCCAGCACAAAGGAGATGAAGCGGCCAACTAGCAAGCTCGAGTAGAGGTGGTAGAGCAGAGGTCACCAACCATTGTTGATTGGTGGACTGGAAGAAAAGGGAGGGGCATGGGGTCACAAGCACACACGTGCTGCAAATGGGGCGGGGCTAGTGCCTGCATGATACTCACTAGCCCTGCCCCGTTCTTGCATGGTGCAGCACCTTGTATCTGCACCCCACAGCATGGCCGTTTTTGCACCTTGCAGCACGGTGGCCCGTTTTTGCACCCCCGGGTTTTGCATGCCAGAGGCGACACTCAGAGGCACCTCCCTGCCCCCCCCCCATGAGGGCACCACAATGCTGATGCAGCCCTGGCACTTTGTGATAAATAAGTGGGTTTTGGGTTGCGGTTTGGGCACTCGGTCTCTAAAAGGTTCACCATCACTGGTATAGGGTTTCCTGCCTGAGCAGGGGGTTGGACTAGATGACCTCCAAGGTCCCTTCCAACTTTATTATTATTATTATTATTATTATTATTATTATTATTATTATTATTATTATTATTATTATTATGGATCATCGCACAGTCAGCCAGATGTTCAGACTGGATTTGGCATTTTGTCTTCCTATTGAGTCCTTCCCAAGGACCTGGGATAGGCAGATGTGGATGTTTGATGGTATTACAGATATCGTCGCAGGATGAAAGCAGTTCCTAGTAAGGCCGCCTTTTGCAATTGACTAATGGTGAATTTGTCAATGCCGATGGTGTTCAAGTAGTGCTCAAGTTGTTTTGGGATTGCATCCAAGGCGCCTATGACTATTGGTACTACCCTTGCTTGCTTTTGCCACAGTCTTTCTATTTCTATTTGTAGGTCTTTGTATTTTGTTATCTTCTCCAGTTCTTTCTCGTCTATTCTGCTGTCTCCAGGCACTGCCACGTCCACTATCCAGACTTTTTTGTCTTTCTTATTGACAATTGTTAAGTCTGGGGTGTTATGTTGCAGGTGCTTGTCTGTTTGAATTCTGAAGTCCCAGAGCAGTTTAATTTTATCATTTTCTATGACTATNTATTATTATTATTATTATTATTATTATTATTATTATTATTATTATTATTATTATTATTATTATTATTAAAAAAGGAAAGATGCCCATTTTCCCTCCACATCTACATTAATGTGAATCCACAAGCTGACCTGGGCTACGTAACCGGTGACTCATCTACAGTTTGGGATGCTTATAAAAGTCGCAGCTCTTCCTACTGGAGGCAACTTGAGCACAGATGGCAGGTCTGGACCCCTCACGGGAGAACACCGGGCTTACTCCGAGCTCTTGGGTGCCGAGCAGGCTGCAAATGGTCAACTACAGGCATCCTCATTAGAATTTGGGAACACGGCTGCAGAGGGTTATGGAAGTGCCCCACAGATTCCCTGGGGATCTGTTCAGAAAGGCACCCCTCCTCTTGCCGTCAAGCCAACCTTCTCTAGGAAAAAGATATAGGTAGTCCTTGGCTTACGACCACAATTGAATACAAACGTTCTGTAGCTCAGCGACAGCTGTTCAGTGAATTTTGCCCCGTTTTATAACCTTTCTTGCCACGGTTGTTAAGTGGATCACTGCAGTTGTTAAGTTAGTAACACGGTCGTTCAATGAATCTGGCTTCCCCATTGACTGTGCTTGTCAGAAGGTCACAAAAGGGGATCACGTGACCTCAGGACACTGCGACCGTCATAAATACGAGTCAGCAGCCAGGCATCTGAATTTTGATCCCGTGAACCATGGGTATGCTGCAACGGTCGTAAGTGTGAAAAACAGCCATAAGTCACTTTTTTCAGTGCTGTTGTAACTTGGAATGGTCACTAAATGAACTTTGGTAAGTCAAGGACTGCCTGTATTCCAAACTATGTCCACAAAAGGGTTAAATCATGGAAGTCATCCTTGTCAATGCCTTTTTTTTCCTTTTTTCTAGCTTTCCCGTTCAGTAAGCCAGTTCTGGGAAAACTGGGGGGAAAAGGCAGTTCCTCTACCTCTTGGCTATGTAGGATATTGAGAATTGAAGTATATTTCACTAGTTCTTCAGCTAGGGCAGGGTAGGCAATCTTGGCTCTTTTATGACTCGTGGACTTCAACTCCCAGAATTCCTGAGCCAGCCGTGCTGGCTCAGGAATTCTGGGAGTTGAAGTCCACGAGTCATAAAAGAGCCAAGGTTGCCTACCCCTGAGCTAGGACATTTGCTCAAACATACAGGTCTAAATGCACATGTGGAAAAGGGGGTTCAGGTTTTGTCACCCTTCTTAGCAAACTTTGTCATCCAGTTAACTGGACATGGTTGTACAATCTGTGATACCTAAAAACAGAATTTATCCAGACTTAGGTTCTCTTCACATCCATATCAGCTGTGTTCTGCTTACCCAGAGGCTAAAGGATTGGCTTTACTCTGGAAATACTAGAGCTAACAAAATGCCAAACAGAACTAAACCCGGAAACATTTCTCCTGGGAATACTTAAAAAAGAAATTTGACAGGAAAATAAGATATTTTGATTCTACACATATTAACTGCGGCAAGAATTGCGTTCGCGCAATACTGGAAGGAACGCAATATACCACCAGAGGGATTGATCATTCAGAAGATATATGAATGTGCCGAAATGGATAAACTCACTTTAGAACTAAAAGAAAAAGACGATTCGGAATTTTACGCGGTTTGGGGAAAATGGTATACATGGATAGATAATAGAAACAAAAAATGGAAACATACATAAGGTTATTGTGAGTTAGATATTGAATGTACATAGTGTATACATGGTATAGAATGTTGATTCAAAGTATATAAAAATGATACAGTCTGCTGAATATGTATTAGAGCTGTATAAAGGAAAATGGTAATAAAATTACTTACTCTGGAAATACCCTTCCCAGCCTCCCCCACCCCATCCCAAGGCTTAGCCAAGGTGCAGGAATAAAACCAGATGCTTCAGGATATCCTTCCTTCTCCAACTTAGCTCAACCTCTCTAAGAAATTTGCCAGATAGCCAGCAGAAGCCCTTCAGAAGTCACTTGCTAGTCCCAAAAGTGCTTTTTTCCAAAAGGCAACTGGACTTTTTTTTTTATGTTACGCTTCTCATCCAAAAAGCTTCTTCAGTTCTTGGAATGAGAAGCAAAAAGCCCAGTTGCCTTTTGGGGAAAAAAGCATCTTTGGGACAACCATGACCTGGATGATTGAGAATCTCCATGGACATTTAGATCACTTACAAGGGCAAACAAAACTACTAGAATCAACTCCTTGCAGATTGCTTTCAAGAAGTCCCGATTCTGGAATAGGAAGCTCTTGGCACAATCAGCTTTTCTATACCGTTTGGGAACCAAGTAAGAAGGCCACATAACTAGAGCAGAATGCCAGCGAATAGCCCAAATCTGCAACAACGGAGTCAGGAAAACTAACGCTCAGAATGAACTGAGAAATACAAGAAATAACCCCCCAAAAAAGTTTCTTTCAACATGTAAGGAACAAGAAAAAGTCAAAGATATGATTGGTCCACTAATGGGAGACGATGGCAAGGTGGAGACAGGCAGCAAGGAGACTTCTTTTTAATTTCTTCTTTGCATCTGTCTTCACACAAAAAGAACATTAGCCCAACCTACCAAAAGCAGCACAGTGGGAGACAGAACAGGAATGCAGGTCAAAATAGGCAAGAAATAGGTAACAAAACACCTATCCACTCTAGATGAGTTCAAATACCAGAACCACAAGGATTACATCTGAAGGAGCTAGCAGACGTGATCTCAGAACCACTAAACAGAATCTTTCAAAGCTCCTGGAACACAGGAGAACTGCCAGAGGACTGAAAAAGAACTGATGTGGTTCCAATCTATAAAAGGGAAAAGGGGCGTTGTCTTACCTGAACGCCTTTTCTCAGTAAGGAGATGGAGAATCCACCAATGGGTTTTCTCTGTCTGCCTGCTCTTGAGACCAAGTAGCCAAATCTGACACGCCCCCTCTTGCTAGAGATCCAGTCTCTAGCTAGAGCGAAAGTGGCTGAAGGTGGACGAGGTGTTGGCTCTCAATCCCTTAAATTCAGCCTAACTGACCTAAAGGGTGGGTGTGGATTCTCCATCTCCGTACTGAGAAAAGGCGTTCAGGTAAGACAACGCCTCCAGTACATGAGATGGAGAATCCACCAATGGGACATACCAAAGCCTCACTGTCCCGATGGGTGGGAAACAGATAAGGCCGGAACAACGTCCCCGGAGACCACCTGCTGAAGGACCCTCCGACCAAAGAAAGCGTCCGCAGAAGCGAAGCGGTCAATTCTGTAATGGCGGACAAACGGGGAGGGCGAGGACCATGTCGCAGCCCTGCAAATCTCCTCGATGGACGCCTGAGTGGCCCATGCCGCCGAGGTCGCAGCACTGCGAGTAGAATGGGCAGTAAGATGACTTGGAGCTGGCAGGGAAGAGGACTGGTACGCCTCCGCGATGCAGGTCAAATGGTCGCTATAGGTTCAAAAGGTGGTTTTGTCAGAGCACGAAGCACACGAGGCAATTCCCAAGAGGGGTACCTGTGTACCACGGGAGGTCTGGTGTTGCACACACCCTTGATGAAGGCACGAATCCTAGGATGGTGACCTAAGGGAACTGAATCCGTGCAAGTAGTAATGTTGACAGGGCCGCCACCTGTCTGCGAATAGTC